AAAATGTCATTAATACAAGTCTTCACTTCTGGTTAAGAGGAGCAACAGGGTCCCATTGCCAAGAGATGTGTGTGTGTGGGGGGGGTGTGCATAGAAGAAGGAGTGTGTGGCCACTAGACAGCCTGACCCCTCTCCTCCTCAGGAGCCTGGCTGGAATTGGGGTGGCTGTATTGGCCACATGTAGGACTCAGATAACAGCTTCAACTCCTGTTCTCACGAGATCTAGCTATATTTCATTTCCTGTCCTTGCATTTCATGATCTTCCCGTAACTTTTTAATAACTCTCTCTCACTTTTACTGCATTAGTTGTAGGGCCTTTGACTTTCTTACAACCAAAAACGTCTTTTCTAGAACACTGCCCAAAGTCACAAATCTTGTTAAATTTGAAACTGACCATTAACCTACATCTCCTGATTTCAAGCCTGTATTCAAAATGCATACTGCCCCACTGAAATTAACCACCAGTAGAAATAGGATTCTATACTTTATTCCCCAACCTATGGAGAGCCAAGGAAACACAAAGGGATGCCAGCATCATTGCCACCTGTGGGAAAGCTGACTGTGCCAAGCCGAAAAGAGGCTAGTTCAACTGCATAAAGATAAAGACTCTTGCCAACTGACCTATACGTTGATAGCTTAGAAACAATTGCTTCATTTACTCCGTGAGAGCATGTGCGTTTGTGACTCGGAACAGATCTCATCTTTCACTGATCAATTCCTTGTTTACCCTCTCATTTCCATTTGCCTCCCTCCAGCCTGCTGTCTCCACCAGTCCCTACCTGGACTGTTACAACTCCTTCACTGACCTCTCTGTGCCTACTTCTGAGTTTTTCTGGCCCATTTTCCACAGACCATCCAGAGTGGCATGGCTGAACTCAAATTTGATGATATTACCCTCTTTCTTCGATCCTCAATGACTATAAAAACATTGCTCCTCAGATAACGTCTAAAATCTTCCATCTGCTTCTCTTAGTGGACCTGCCTACATTTTCCAGTCATGCCATCCACCGCATACCTTACACCATTTTTGCAAAGCTCTTGAACTTCTTGCTGCCTCTTGAACTTTTGTGCCACACCTATGGGCCTCATTATAGTCACAGACTGACCACCCCTCATACTGCCTCCTCTCCAGCCCTGCTCCACCCAACATGGCCTTCGTGGTGTTATAAAAAGCCATCTGGCCAATGAAGGGGTGTGTTTTGGGTGGCCTACTTGTTGGGAGCTGGAAACCACACATATACATAGAGAATTTTTCACTAGCGCTTTCATCCCCTTAGCAAAGGGACAGAAACTACACAAACAGGAGAAAATTGGGGCTCACCTTAGCCCAGACTCTCTAGAAATGAACCTTGTGCTCAAGAGAGGAATTTAGAGGAAGCTGAGGACCAGAATTTTGCACTCATACTTTCTTTTCTATGATGAAAATGAAAGAGCTGACATTGCTGTGCCTCATAAAAGACCTTTTCCATTTTATACTACCCCATCATACCTACATCCTCAAGCTCAGAGGACTTGCAGAGGCAGCACCTGGGTGTCTCTGTTTTCCCTACTGCCATTTTTTCAGCTCTCTGGTGTTTCAGAAAGTTCACTAATCTTCCCTCGTATGACCAGGTGATTCTGATAGAGTGTAGTGCGAGACCACTGTCTCACAAATCTCTTTCCCGTCAGGGTGCTGCCCTACTCCACTGGTTGAGGCCCCTTGGTTTCATGTGTGCACTTCTTTTTTTTTTTCTTTTTATTACCTTTATAATTTTTATTTTTTGAGTTGGAGTCTCACTCCGTCGTCCAGGCTGGAGTGCAGTGGCATACTCACGGCCACCCCAGCGTCAACCTACTAGGCTCAGACGATCCTTTCCCCTCAGCCTTCCAAGTAACCAGAACTACAGGTGTGTGCTACCATGCCCAGCTAATTTTTTCATTTATTGTAGAGATGTGGCCTTGCCAATTTGCCCAGGCCGGTCTCAAACCTGTGGGCTCAGGCAATCCCCTCACCTTGGCCTCCCAAAGTGCTAGGATTACAGGCTTGAGCCACCATGCCCAGCTACATTTATCATTCTTATTTAATATCTACTTTCTCTCCTTGACTATAAAAAAATCAGAGTCCATGTTTGTTTCGTGTGTGTGTGTGTATGTGTGTGTGTGTGTATGTGTGTGTGTGTGTGTGTGTGTGTGTGTGTGTGTGTGTGTGTATGTACCCAGGCTAGAGTGCAGTGGCACAATCACAGGTCACTCCAGTCTCAACCTCCTGGGGTCAGGTGATCCTTCTGCTTCCGCATCCTGAGTAACGCTGAGACTACAGCACACAACACCATGCCCAGCTAATTTCTTAATGTTTTGTGAAAACGAGATCTTGCTATGTTGCCCAAGCTGATCTCAAACTCTGATCTCAAATTCCTGGGCTCAAGCAACCATCCCATCTCAGCCTCCCAAAGTGCTGGGATTACAGATGTGAGGCACTATGCCTGACCCATGTGTATTTTTAAAATGCTCACTGTCTGAAGAGGTAATATATTCATGTGGTTCAAAAACAAAATATTATAAATATGCAGTCGAACACTTTGCTCCTTCCTATGTGGGGGCCTCCTCCTACCTCATTCCTACCTTTCTCATTGTCTTTCCTTTTGGGGAACATTGTTAATGGTATTTTGCACATGTAACTTTTTGAGTCAAAGAGTATGTACATCTTTAATTTGGATAGATATTACCAAGTTCCTTCCAAAAAGGTTATACTCTATTTGCATTTTTCCAGCAATGTGTGACAGAATGTTTTCCTAAAACCTTGGAATAAAACATTATCAAACTTTTGGGTTTTTCTAATCTTATCAATAAAAAAATAGCTCCACAATATAAGTTTTGCCATTTTTCTTATAAATAAGCTTGAGTATCTTTCAAATGTTTCTGTAAATGGTCTGTTCACACTCTTTGACCCTTTTTCTGTTAAGTTGTTGTTGCTTTCTTGAGACTCTTGATATATTAGAATGAATGATTCTTATACCAATTGCAAGCATTTTTAGCATTTTGTTTAAGGTTTAGTTGGCCATACAGAAGTTCTTGATTTTTATATTGTAGAAGTTATTTATTTTTTCTTTTGTGGCTTCTAGATTTTGATTCAAATTTAGAAAGATCTTCTTCTATCCAGTGCCATATAGAAATTATCCCAAGTCTTCTTGTTAATACTTTAATGGTTTTATTGCCTACTTGTATATATTTTACCATATTTGGAATTTACCATATTGTAAAGTGAGAAATACGAACATTACTTTCTTAATTATTAGATAATTGTCTAAAGCCATTTTTTTCATACCCTTTTGAGATACTGCCTCTATTATACCAAATTTCCACATAGATGTAAATCTATTTTTAGATTTGTCTGTTTCATTGCCAGTACCACATGGCTTTAATTATTGTTTTAGACCTATGTCATAGAGCTATTCTCTTTGTAGGATTTTTTTCAGAGTTTTTCTCGTTGGCTTCCTACTAAGTTTATATTTCCATATGAACCTTCAGAGTCGATTTAGTTTAAAACATACCCTTTAAAGTTTTAAAAAATGTATGTTTAATCTTTTAAAAATTTTCTGAAGTTGAAAATATCAAACATAGATAAACTAGACAGAATAGTGTAAGAACTCCCTACAGACTGGCAGCATCCAACTTCAATGACCATTCTAATGTCAATCTTTTTTATTGATCTTACCATTCATTTATTCCTATTATATTATTTTGGCAGATTCCAGATATGTCATTTCATCTGTTAATATTTAAATATATAATCAAAATATAAGTATAATTTTTAAGCAAAATTTCAATACCATTATCACACAGACACCTACAAATTATTTTTTAACAATAATTCTTTACTATCCATAACTGCCCCATAAATACCATAATTTTTTCCTAGTTTTTCATTGAGGTCAAGTTACATTTGTAAATTAACTTAGGGAGAACTGACATTTTAACAGCTGAGTTGTTCTGTCCAAGGATATGGCATATCTTTCCATTTATTAATGTCTTCCTTTACTCAGTCTCTGCTGTCTGAGAGTTTTTGCCACATAGGTATTTTACTTTCTTCTTTGATTTGTTTTATCTTTGTTGTGGCTTTTATAAATTATACTCTCCAGCTATTTCTTATATGTATGAATTATACTGTGTGTGGTAATTTTTTATCCACTAACTTAATACAGTTTTTTTCTTGTTTGTAACTGAAAAAAAAAAAAAAATAGACCTTTGTAACATGGCAAACCCAAATCTGAGAGGACTTGTGCATAATGTTCTTTATTCCAAAAAAGTCACACAGGGGTCCAGTAAGGAAGGTCACTGGTTTATTAGAACTTACAAGAGGCACCGACGGCAATGGCAGCCAGTTGGTGAAGAAAGATTCCTCCCAGGAGGTACAGATAGCAGCCTGTAGGTGGGGAAAGAATCTCCACTGGTGGGACAGTATAGCAAACAACTCTTCAGTCAAGCAGGTTAATTATTCAACTTGCTATGGTGGTTACAATCACAGTAAGGGTGCTGGCCACATTTTTCCCAACTCTGTTCAATTACCTGCACCCTGTGTGACTTGTGACCATTACTGGAAATATGCATATCCTGCAGAGACAAGCATTGGCCAGAGGATGCTTCCTGGGGGAGGGGCAGAAAGAAGTCAGATATAGGGGAAAGAGTCAATGTCCAGACACTTACAACTTTATTGCATTTTAAGGAATTCATCAAATTATCTGCAATGGTCATGGTCAAAACTCCTCACTGATTTTTACCTCTAATTTAAAAGTTAGCTGTCTCTTACCTAATTGCATTGACTAGTTCCTTCAGATCAGTGCTAAATAATAGTAGTAATAATGGATATTCATGCCTGATATAGATGAATGAATACATGAAGACAAAGATGCTATTATGAGAAAAACTATTTAAAAATACTATCTTCTAAATACAACATAAGTTTTCAATGCTCCAACAACATGATGCATCCTTAAAGACTAAACTGCCACAAAGATATTGAATACTTTCATTTTTTTTATTAGTAAAATTCACTTTTTACAGACAAGTATGAACCACTTTGAGCTTTTCTTCCCACTTCCAATTCTCAATTCCTATGGGTGTGGTATCATCTAAGGGAATAAAGGTCCTTGAATATTCTGGACATGTGGTCACAGCCTTCTGCACCAGCTCTTCTAGGTGTGACCACCTGGGGTGCCGTGGACTCTGAATCGATATAAACAAGTATACTCCGGGTGTCCCCAGTTGCTAAGGATTTTAAGTTTCACATATAATAAAGATTCAGAAACTTCATGCTGAAAATAAAGAAAAGATAAAATTAATGCCTTATAAAGAAATTCATCTTAAAACATCTCAATGAATGCCAATATAAATAAAACAAAATTCTCTTTTTTTCCTTCCTACACAAGTATTTTCTAATATCGCTCGTGAATGAAGAAATGTGTTACTGGAGTTAAAAGGTTATGAAAAGACACACAGTGGGGGAGGGAGATATGGTGGTCACATGACCTCTCCATGCCATGGTCTCTCCCCCTCCACACTCCTTGCTGGCTGTGTCAAGGAGTGGGGAAGGGAGAACTTGTCTGAAAACTGGATAAATAAAACCAACTATAAAAACATATATATATATATATATATATATGTACACAATCAAATAGGAAACTCTACAAATACATTCATTTCTAATACATATGGTGGTTTTAGCTTTTATTTTCTCACTTATCTGGCCAAGAAGTGTCATAAAACACTTGTTTACACATGATTGAGATGCCGTCTGCGTCTCTTCAATTACTTCCTGTGGCTAATGAGAATATAGTATATTTCACTGAGGTTTCAGGGGTTTATAAGCTAACAGTTGATATTTTTCCCCATTGGGTTAGTAAAATAATTTTTACTTATATTATCTGGTATTAAATATTTATCCTCTCTTCCTCTGAGTTCCTCTCTGTCTCCATCCACCTCATATTGCACCATCACCCCCACTCTCTTTATCCAAGTAAGATGAGATAGTGACTATCAAACTTAATAGTATCCAGGGAATGGTTTAGTAAGGAGAACTGAGAAACAATATAGTTTTATGTCATAGTAGATGAGGAAGAATTTGACTTAAAAATTGCTTTTGTATTCGCCTGTCTTTTGCAATAAAATTCTCGTAAGCACTTGGAGCTATGAAAGTCCAGATAAGCCTTGTTTAACACATGCTTTTGTCATCATTTTTCTCACATTCTACTTTGCATGGAGAAATTTCAACAAATCTCTCGGTGATGGAATCACTCAAATCTTATCATTTCCCAGGGCATACATTACCTGAAGTACAAATGTTTGAACGGTGCTTCCTGTTTTGTTATATATAAACTGACCCAGGAAAATTTCTTCTTCACATTTTTTCATGATACCCTAATAAAGAAAGGAACAGATATAGAGATTGTAATGAATGAATAGTTGTGGGTTCAAGTAGCAACAATTCACCAGACATCTTTGTGTGTTAACCAGAGACATGGTGCTGTGCTTATGCCAGGATTGATCTACATACCCAGAGAACATTTAACTCAGGGGTGAATGAGGCCAGAGGCTGATCACAGAGGTGACTAGTTAGATATAAAGATAGATAGATAGATGACAGATAGAGATGGATAATATATCATAGATATATAGAAGACTGATGATATAGATGATTGATAGATGGATAGATAGATGAATAATAGATTATAGATAGAGGATAGACAGATGGATAGGGAGACAGATGAATAGTAGATTATAGACAGAAAAGATAAATAGATAGATTGCTGATAGATCGATAGATAAGGATAGAGCTAATCCCAGGATTAACTCTAGCCTAATAATTGTATTTGTAGTCAGCATACATTGAATAAAATCAACAAAAATGATTCCCCATGTTAAATGGTGTTTTCCAAAATGAGATAAACTTAAGCTAATTGTGAGACTTTGATTACACAAATAATTTTCCCTAAGCTTCTGTTGACTGACAGCATCATTGATATTTGTATGCAATTTCCCTTGTGTTCTCCTTCTCTGCTCCTCAAATTGAAGATTTGTGAGAGGAGAGTGCATTGGTGCAAACTAATTTGTTTTGTGAATCTCAAGCTTTTGTTAGGTTTTTTAAATGATGGTAACATGGCAAAATAAAGAGTTCACTAGTTTAGTCATTTCATAATAAAAATATTAACATCAGAACATAATTTTATTTAAAAGAGAAGATAATACTTTCATTTTGAAACTGAATACATCATGATTGCATAACATATTCATGATTACATAAATATGTATATATAGGACTCACACCTTATATAGTTCCATTAGCCTAGGAGAGAAGCATTAATTTTATTCCTACCTCCTTTATCACTGTTTTTTCCCTTTCTTTTTTTTTTTTTTGAGTTGGAGTCTCACTCTGTCGCCCAGACTGGAATGCAGTGGCCGCTCCCGGCCACCACAGCCTCGACCTGCTGGGCTCCGACGATCCTTCCACCTCAGCCTTCCAAGTAGCTGGAATTACAGGCATGCGCTACCACACCCAGTTGATTTTTTTATTTACTGTAGAGATGAGGTCTCGCCAAGTTGCCCAGGCGGGTCTCGAACCCACGGGCTCAGGCAGTCTACTCACCTCAGCTTCCCAAAGCGCGGGATTACAGGCTGAGCCACCAAGTCCAGCTTCTTTCTTTTTTTAAGAGACAGGGTCTTGCTATGCTACCAGGCCTGGCCTCAGACCCCTGGGCTCCAATGATCTTCCTGCCTTGGCCTTCCAAGTTGCTGGGATTATAGGAGTGTTTTGCCTAGTTCTTTATCACCTTGTTTTAATTTCACTCAATTCATAAATTCTCTAATATAGAGGAAAAAGATGAGAAATAGTCTGCAGGAATCACCCATAATTCCTCTAAATAATGAATAACTGCACCTTTCTGAGATGGGGCTTAACTGTCCAAATTCAACTTCTTGCGACTGTTCTGAGACACTTCTTGTGGGTGGTGCAGGCTTGCATCAAAGGATAGTAGCCCTGTGTTTTGTAACCCCAGAATCATGGAATGCAGAGGCATTTGGATGACATACAAGGCAGGCTGTTTAACACTAGGCACCCCTCCAGGTAGTAATATCAAAGGGTTACTTTAGTAAGGCATAAACTTATGAGGAAAAACTGGAAGTAGAAATTAAGATAGCCGGGCTCGGTGGCTCAGCCTGTAATCCCGCGCCTTTGGGAGGTTGAGGTGAGTGGATTGCCTGAGCCCGCGGGTTCGAGACCCACCTGGGCAGCGAGACTTCATCTCTACAATAAATCAAAAAATCAACCAGGCGTGGTAGCGCATGCCTGTAATTCTAGCTACTTGGAAGGCTGAGGCGGAAGGATCGCCAGAGCCCAGCAGGTCGAGGCTGCGGTGGCCACTGCACTCCGGTCTGGGCAACAGAGTGAGACTCCATCTAAAAAAAAAAAAAGAAAAGAAAAAAAAAGAAATTAAGATAAAAATTTGAAGATGACCAAATGGAAACTGAAGGAAGCACAAACTACTCTGTCTGTAAGTGGAATCAACAGCACATTGACTTACATTGCAGATCCCCAGAAATGCCGGGGACTAGGGCCACAAGGTGGGAGGGGAGAAGACCGCAGGAAAGTCCCACATCTAAGGCTTAGCTGATAGTCATTTCAAAAAGCAGTTATCCCCACACCCCAAGTCCATGGTAGGTCATTACCCTTCCTCTGGGCCAGCAGAGGGCTCTCTTTTTCCTCCCAACTTTAAGAGAGATGACAGGGTAGCTCAAGTACCAAACACAAATAAGAGGCATGAGTTATGTCCTATGCACTGAATGCTGGTTCATGGCTCTCTTTTCCCCAGCAGATCCTAGTGTATGGTCAGCCTGAATGATACTTCCTACACACAAGATTGCAGGATTCCTCTCAGGGTCAACTTGTCTGATACTACACTTGGGACCTCAGAAGAAAAGGCCCAGTTAGATGATTCCCCACCATGAAGCTCTTAGTTGGCCAACTCCACCATGTACACAAAGCTTCCGGCCAGCTCTCTATGTGATAGAAAAACACCACAGACGTCAGAGAAAAGTACCTTACAGTAAAGATAGACACTCTATACACAAAGGAGAAAAGTGGTACTTCAAAATAAAGACATGGAAGAGAGCAGAGGAAATTAAACAAACCTATAGTTAATATCAATATCTTCAGAAGAATAAGATTCCACATCCATGAAAGAAAAAAAATCTAGACTCTAAAGAAAAAGAAATATTTGTAGAAAAAATCTTAGAAAGTATAATCATGACAGCAAAAATGAAAAATTCAATATAGTGGTAAAAATTAAAATTGATAAACTCTTCCAGAAGGTAGAACAAAGAACAGAAAAGGAAAATAAGAGAATGCAATTTTTAAGAATGATAAATTCGATGGTAAGTTGAATTTCCAGGATACAGAAATGAGATCTCATGCTAACAGTTGTGCATCAGGCCTACCTAAAAAGACTGGAGTGAAAGGCAGAGGGCTCCAGAAGGGATAATGGAAGGAAGGAAGGAAGAAAGGGAGAGAGGGAGGAAGGAAGAATGGAGGGAGGGAAGGAGGGAGGGAGGGAGGGAAGAGCTGGGTGCAGTGGTCCATGGTTGTAATCCCAGCACTTTGGGAGGTGGAGGTGAGAGAATTGCCTGAGCCCTGGAGTGTAAGGTCAGCATGGGCAACTTGCTGGTGAGATTTTTGTCTCTACAGTAAATAAAAAAATTAGCCAGGCATGGTGGTGCGTGCCTGTAGTTCCAGCTACTTGGAAGGCTGAGGAGAAAGGCTCTCTTGAGCCCAGAAGGTCGAGGTTGTGGTAGACGTGACTGTGTGACTACATTCCAACCTATGTGACAGAGTGAGACTCTGACTCAAAAGAAAAAAATAAAAAAGAGAGAAAGAAAAGAAGAAAGAAACTCATAATTTATCTTACATGAGTTAACATAATGGGAGAATATTCACACTTCTGAAGAATTTGGGAATGTTTTAGTGATTTTTGAATATAAAAAAGTAAGCATATTAAATAAAAGTGAGATAGTTGTCCTTAGAAATGTCAAAAAATTATATAAGACAATAGTATTCAAATACACTAAATGCCTAAACTAAGAATAGTATTGTTCCCGTAGTCACCAGGAAGACATTTGATTATTGTTGAAACAAACAGATAATACAGCCTAGTAGTGCTTCAGATGTTAAACCTAGATTTACCATATGATTAGCAATTCCGATCTTAGGTATATACCCAAGAGAAACAAATATCAATGTCCATACAAAACCTTGTACACAAATGTGGATAGCAGCATTATTCATAATAAACAAAAGTGAAAATAGCTAAAATGTCCATCAACTAATAAATGGCTAAATAAAATGTGGTATAGCCTTTCAATAAAATATTACTCAACAATTTAAAAACTAAAATGTTGACACTATCTATCATGATATATCATACCATATTTCATGATATATCATACTATACATACTATATATCGTGGTTGAAACTTGAAAACAATATGCTAAGTGAAAGAAGCCACTCACAAAAGACCACATATTATATGATTCCACTTATATAAAATGTCCAGAATAGGTAATTTTATGGAGACAAAGTGGATCAGTGATTGCCAGGGGCTGGGGCAGCATGATGGGGGGATAAGAGGTGACAGCTAAGGGATATGAGGTTTATTTTGGGAGTAATAAGATGTTCTAAAATCAATTGTGGTGATGGATATACAACTCTACAAATATGCTAAAAGCCATTGAATGGTGCACTTTAAGTAGGTAAGTTGAATGTTCTGAAGTGTAAATTATTTATCTCTATAAATCCATTTTGTATAAAAAAGTAATACATGAACATATTGGGATGATGGGGGACCCATGAAAGTGAGCTAATGTTCATTTTCACTGGAGGATGTCAAGCGATAACAACCAAAACTGAAAAATCAAGAAATAACAGTAAAAGCAAATATAAAGGCAAGAACCCAAATAAGCAACTAAAATTGTTGCAAATGGAAGCTTTGGGATCATGAAAGTTGGGGGTTGGAAGAAGTGAAACAAAAAACTACTGTCTAATTATAAGCTTCATGGAAATATTTGATTTCTAATTATACATGTATAAATTTGATAAAAGTAAAAAAATAAAATTAAGTAACAGAAATCATCTGGCCCAATCCTCTCTCTTTGTAGAGGAGGAAGCAGAGGTCCAGGAGGTAAGTGACTCAGTAGTTAAGATGAGAGTTCAACCTCTAATTCCTAACCAACCACCTTCTATCACAGGCCAATCTGAATGACGAATTTAGACAGTCTCTTACATAGACGGAAAATTCCCTGGGTGCACTAGAAATGTTTCCTGAGGGAGACACCTTCTCTGAGATGTGCTCCATAGTAACAGCAGTTGGGATGATCTTCTTGGCAAGTTTGATTAGTGTGTGACCCTGTGAACCTGGAAAGGCCCAGCACTTTCCAGGATAGACATCTGGCTGGAAAGAAAACATGGAATTAATCTCTTATCTAGTCATATAAAGCCATTTCTAAAAGACTGGTCAGCTATTCACTATTGACTGCAGATCTCTCTTCTGCCTATAGTACAAAGTCATTGTGTGTGTTCAATACATATCAAACAGAAAAACTTCCAAGACACTGCTAGGTTTGGTTATTCTTCCAGCACACTTTAAGCTTATATCAATATGAGCATGCTTTTTTTGGTTCATTGCTCTTACTAGATTGTAAGCTACCAGAAGGCAGCTAGGGGGTATGAGTGATGGAGGGTATGCTGATGGTAGTGCTAGTGAGCATGGTGGTGGTAATCACTGTGATGGTGGTGATAGGGGCAATATTGGTGGGAGTGGAGGTGGAGGTGGTGGTGATGATGGTGTCGGTGACAGTGTTTGTGGTGGTTGTGGTGGTGGTGACGATGGTGATGGTGGAGGTAGAGGGTTAGTGGTCATGGTTACAATGGTTGGTGGTGATGATGTGATGGTGGTGGTGGTGGTAGTAATGGTGCTGATGATGATGCTGGTAATGATGGTAATGGTGGAAGGTAAAGGTGGTGGTGGTAGTAGTGGCGATGGTGATTGGTGTTGATAGTGGTGGTGATGCTGGTTCTGGTGGAAAAGGTAAAAAATGAGGTCTACTACTGCTTAGATATAGACTATAGCTTATATAAGATTCGAGGGTTTGTCCCTGAAGTTACTTCAAAAACCGAAACTAACTTCAGATGTGTGGACCATCGTTGCGAGGTGCTCACTTTCTGTTAATGTCTATTGTCTTTCAAATTAAATGAAAAGGTTCCGTACTTAGAAATTTTTCATGTTACAACAGGACTCAATAAGAATGTGTGCTCTGAATAGAACTTACAGTACTTGGAGCTTAGGGGACAAGTACTTTCAACAAATGTTTGTTGAATGACTGAAGTTTTCAATGGAAAAGGGAGGCCACAGAATCTACTTATAGAGACTATATGGAATGTTTGTGTTTTATTTGAAAGCAAATCATCTAGTTTACTGATCTTAAAATAATAAGCAAGTAAATATATAAATAAATAATTGTAATTTACAAACCATAAAATAAGGTTTGAATGAGTGTAATGACTATACAAAATATAAGGAGATGATTTCAGGTTCTGTAACAATTTCAGAACCTTATATCACCTCCATTTTAAACATTAATATTTTCGTGATAAATACTAAACAAAACTTTGAAATAGAAATGAGTTATTCTTAATTTAGTTTTACCTGAAGGATAATATCTGGAGGCATTTCATAATTTAGTAATCCTATCCCATGCCAGTATAGTTTTGCCTTAGTATTTTTGTAACTTTCCGAGGTCTCAGCTTCAATAATGGAGGCTCCTAAAATTGCAAAATAATTTTCGAAATAAAAAAATTACATACACAATTCACAGCACATCATTTGGATTTTAATAATGTCTTTAGAAAACTAGTACTGGGAAAATTATAAATGAGTTAAAATTTATACTCAGGAATTCAAAGTATGACAGTTTTTCTTATCATTGAAATTTTATCACTTGGAGAAAGGTATGTTTGCTCTGGGTAATTTCATAAAACTTCTTTATGATAAAAAGAATTGAACTTTGGGGCAGTTAAATTAGAGATGAAAATATTACATGGATCCTGTTTATTACCTAAAAAGATATAGGAACCTCCATATGTTAACAGTTCATATTATAAGTGAGGCTTCCTGTCAGTTCTATTCCCTCAAAAACAAAAAAAGTAGAAAACCAGCAATGTTGTTTTATGCAGATTCATTTAACTTTAATTTTAATCAAAGAAATAGAAAATATATTCATCAAATATTGTTCCTTAAGGTTATTTTATATTTCATAAGCAAAAAGTATTTTATACATAAGAAATACAGAAAATGCAAATCATGTTTTCAAATTTCATTTGGATACCACACAATAACATTAAAAATACATGGGCCTGACCAAATATAGGATTACCAGCATTTTCTTTTAAGATGGTACAATTTGAATTAGTAAATGTACACCTAGAGTTGCCAGGTTTAGCAAGTAAAAATACAAGGCTGCTATTTAATTTTGAATTTTAGATAAACAAAGAATATTGTTTAATAGTAATCGTGTCTCATACAATATTTGGTACATACTTACATTAAGAAATTATTTGCTGTTTGTATGAAATTCAAATTTAACTGGGCGTTTTTTATTTTACTGGCAAACCTATGTGTATCTGAAGGGCTGGTACTGACTGCCCAATCAATAGTTCTACACGGCAGAAAG